TGAGAGCTTCAGCAGTGGAACTCTCTGCCCCGGAGTGTGGTGGAGGCTCCTTCTTTGGAAGCTTTTAAACAGAGGCTGGATGGCCATCTGTCAGGGGTGATTTGAATGCAATATTCCTGCCTCTTGGCAGAATGGGGTTGGACTGGATAGCCCAGGAGGTCTCTTCCAACACTTTGATTCTATGATTCTATGATTATATGAATGTTTGCCATGTATGTGTACTGTGATCCACCCTGAGACCCCTTGGGAAGATAGGGCGGAACATAAATAAAGTGTTATTATAATTATTAACGCTTGTCGATTTACACTAGAGTACCTTTGTATTCCTAGAGAGCGCATTTGAATGAAATCCGTAATCATCAAATCCATAAAGATCAAGCTTGCAAGTGTGGAGAGCTGACTGTACTGCACATAAAAGGATGCTTTCTGTGGCTTAGGCATTTCTCTCTTTTTGTCCTGCTTCTCAGAGACAGGTTCAGTGACTGTGATCCAGGGGATGTGTTCAGGACTGCAGCTGGTTGTGTTAATGAGAAAAAAGGGTTCATGGCTTTAGAGAGAATTGGTGAAGGGAACAGTCCTGGCGGGTGGAACGGAGTGCAGAAGAGCGCAACAAGGGACTTCAGAGGGGGACTCGAATGTTATTAAATTTCCACACCTCCTTCAACAAAGGACAGAACACAGTCTTCCAGACATCCCGAGAGCTTTGTGAATTCAGCGGAGGTTTTAGGGTTGCGTCCCTCTCTGCCTCGCTCTTCCTGGGGCTCCAAATTGCATATTCTCCAAACATAGATTTCCAAGCCAGCCTTCCCCAGTGTCTCATGTCGCTCATACCTAAAATTAATTCCTGGCATCAACATCACAGTAAAGAAAAACTCAGTACTGAATGCCAGGGAGGCAATCTGAAAAGAACAGAAAAAGGGGAAGGAAAGATGCACACAATGCCCCTCCTTCAGATTCAAGTTGTTTTCATATTTTAAACAAATGCCCACCTTTCTTTATCACTTTGCTTTTGCAATTAGGAAGAGCTGGGGGACGGATTTGGGTGGAAAATTGGTGTCATGGTTCACTAGATTCATAGTGGATTGAGCATTGGATGAACACTCTGGAAACCAACGTTTGAATCCCCATTCAGCTATGGAAACCTATTGGACGAGTTGCACATTGTCAACCCTAGAAATCCCTAAATTAGTAATAACCTGAAGGTACAACAAAGATGACTACAACAGGTTTATGGAAAATGTTCCCTAGGAAGATGGAAAATTCTTTGGGCATCTCCAGGAGAAGATATAGACTTACTTTGGCATCTCCAGGAGAAGATGGAAACTGCTAGGGAACATGGAAATTTCCATGGGCTTTTCCAGGAGAAGTTAGGAACTTGTATAAAGAAAATGGAAACTTCTATGGACATCTCCAGAAGAAGATGGAAACTCTAAAGACAATGGAAACTCCTTTGGGCATCTCCAGAAGAAGATGGAAACTTCTAAAGAAAATAGAAAATTCTATGGAAAAATCCCTTGGGCATCTCCAGAAGATGATGGGAACTTCTAAAGAAGATGGGAACTTCTAGAGAAGATGGGAACTTCCATGGACATCTCCAGGAGAAGATGGGAACTTCTAAAGAAGATGGGAACTTCTAGAGAAGATGGGAACTTCCATGGGCATCTCCAGGAGAAGATGGGAACTTCTAAAGAAGATGGGAACTTCCGTGTGGCATCTCTAGGAGAAGATGGGAACTTCTAAAGAAGATGGGAGCTTCCATGGGCATATCCAGGAGAAGATGGGAACTTCTAAAGAAGATGGGAACTTCCGTGTGGCATCTCCAGGAGAAGATAGGAACTTCTAAAGAAAATGGAAAATCCTATGGAAAATCCTTTGGGCATCACCATTAGAAGATGGGAACTTCTAAAGAAAATGGAAAATCCTATGGAAAATCCTTTGGGCATGCCCAGGAGAAGCTGGAAATTTTCATGGGCATCTCCAGGAGAAGATGGGAACTTCTAAAGAAGATGGGAACTTCCGTGTGGCATCTCCAGGAGAAGATGGGAACTTCTAAAGAAGATGGAAACTTCCGTGTGGCATCTCCAGGAGAAGATGGGAACTTCTAAATAAGATGGAAACTTCCATGGGCATATCTAGGAGAAGATGGGAACTTCAAAAGAAGATGGGAGCTTATAGAGAAGATTAAAATTTCCATTGGCATCTCCAGGAGAAGATGGGAACTTCTAGAAAGAAGATGGAAACATCCAATGGCATCTCCAGGAAACCTTCCTAATCCAAGACACCTTTAGTTGTTCTCTTGAAGGTTTAGTGGGAATAGATATCCTAGCAGCTCCCTCATCCAACAATTCCCAAATTGTTAACTTCTTTGGATAGAATAACGAAATAATGGACCTTGGAAGGGAAAAATATGGAAAAATAAGGTGAAACAGACTTCCGAAATCTGCTGGAGTGGAAACCATAGTCATACAAGGGCAGATATGCTAAATCAACAACAAACCAAATCTACCATGATGTCTTCTCATAAGATTTCCATTGTAAAGGACATTCAGAAGTAATGACCAGTGCCTCCTCCTGCCTTATCTTTGAAAAACTATCCATTAGTGTCAGCGTCCCATCTTCTGCTGTCCAGTAGCTGTTTGGCACGTTTGTCTGGTTCTAAAGCAAAAGCCTGTCTGATATAGGAGACCATATCAGTAGCAATAACCCCATGCCATCCAGTAGCATGCAATTATAGAGCAAGAGAGCAGGAAGAGGAAAGAATGGGACACATATTGCCAGGGCAAGTCATTATGATGTGTTGTAACAGTCATTTTCTTGTGCCGTAATGCCATATTGTTCCATCTGTTTGTGCACAATGGAGACTGAATTCAGACGAAGGTAATAAATGTTCAGTTGCAATGGTAAGACGTTTGCTTTTGTAATTCACTTTGCCATTTCCTGGGTCTTTTTTGCTCCCTAGCGTGTGGACAATTCAGGTATATTTCTCTTTCCCTGCAGAATGCAACTGCATAATTTTTATTCCTATTTTCCTGATCAAGTTTATGCTGAATGCAGGGCCTCCAGCTAAATAATCCCCAAAAAGTCCAGCGTCTTTTTGAATCATGGGATCTAGAGTTGGAAGAGACTCCAAGGATTTTGCCTTTGTTATCAGAGGAAAAAGTAATATTTTACAAGTATAGAGTAAAAAGGTAAAGGTAGTTCCCTGACATTAAGTCCAGTCATGTCTGACTCTGGGGTGTGGTGCTCATCTCCATTTCTAAGCCGAAGAGCCAGCGTTGTCCGTAGACACCTCCAAGGTCATGTGGCAGGCATGACTGCATGGAGCGCCGTTACCTTCCCGCCGGAGCGGTACCTATTGATCTACTCACATTTGCATGTTTTCGAACTGCTAGGTTGGCAGAAAAGTATAGAGTAGGGAAGTGTTTATACATACATTGTGATTTGGCCCATTATTACCAACCTTTGAGATGAGACTGCTGGAATTTTAAATTAAATACTCTCTATGACAGCGTTTCGTAACCTGGGGTCGGGACGTCGGGGTCATGAGGGGGAGTCAGAGCGATCGCCAAAGACCATCAGAAAACACAGTATTTTCTGTTGGTCCTGAGGGTTCTGTGTGGGAAGTTTGGCCCAATCGTTGGTGGGTTCGGAATGCTCTTTGATTGTAGGTGAACTATAAATCCCAGCAACTACAACTCTCAAATGTCAAGATCTATTTTCCCCAAACTCCACCAGTGTTCACATTTGGGCATATTGAGTATCTGTGCCAAGTTTGGTCCACATCCATCATTGTTTGAGTCCACAGTGCTGTCTGCATGTAGGTGAACTACAACTCCAAAACTCAAGGTCAATGCCCACCAAACCCTTCCAGTATTTCCTATTGGTCATGGGAGTTCTGTCAGGCAAGTTTGGCCCAATTTTATCATTGGTGAGGTTCAGAATGATCTTTGATTGTAGGTGAACTATAAATCCCAGCAACTACAACTCCGAAATGTCAAGGTCTATTTGATCCAAACTCCACCAGTATTCATGTTTGGGAATATTGAGTATAAATGCCAAGTTTGATCCAGATACATTGTCTGAGTCAACAGTGCTCTTTGGATATAGGTGAACTACAACTCCAAAACTCAAGGTCAATACCCACCTAAACCTTCCAGTATTTTATGTTGGTCATGGGGGTTCAGTCAGGCAATTTTGGCCCAATTCTATCCTTGGTGAGGTTCAGAATGATCTTTGATTGTAGGTGAACTATAAATCCCAGCAACTACAACTCCCAAATGACAAAATCAATCCCACCCAAACCCACCAGTATTCAAATGTGGGTGTAATCGGGTATTTGTGCCAAATTTGGTCCAGTGAATGAAAATACATCTTGCATATCAGATACTGACATTACGATTCATAGCAGTAGCAAAATTGCAATTATGAAGCAGCAATGAAAATAATGTTATGTTTAGGGGTCACCACAACATGAGGAAATGTATTAAGGGGTCGGCATTAGGAAGGTTGAGAAACATGGTTCTACAAAAAAAAAAAAAAAAAAAAAACAATAAAAAAAAAAAAAAAAAAAAAAAAAAAAAAAACAAAAAAAAAAAAAAAAAAAAAAAAACGAAGAAAAAAAAGAAGAAGAAAAAGAAGAAGAAAAAAAACAAAAAAAAAATAAAAAAAAACAAAAAAAAATTTTTTTAAAAAAAACTAAAAGGTGGTCAGTTGAAACATTCACACCTAGCTCCAGCAGACAAAAGTCCTTTGTCCCACCCTGGTCATTCCACAGATATATAAACCCATTTTCCTACTTCCAACAGACCTCACTACCTCTGAGGATGCTTGCCATAGATGCAGGCGAAACGTCAGGAGAAAATGCCTCTAGAACATGGCCATATAGCCTGGAAAAACCTACAACAACCTAGTGATTCCGGCCATGAAAGCCTTCGACAATACATAGTCACAAACTGTTGCTTTCCGGACCCACAATTGTAACTTCTCTCTCTTTTTTCCAGCAGAAAGCGAAAGCACTGGCTGCGTTTTATTACACACATCGAGAAAAGTAAGTGCAACAATGTTTTGTTTCATTTCTTAATGAACTTCCCTTAATTACTCTTCCAGCATAAATATGTTTTGCAGGGGTTTGCATGGCCTCATTTTTCCCCATTTAGCAGCCGCATTCAAAGAGCGCCAAGGTGTGGAAAGCTTGCCTTCTGTTCAAACTAGGTTAGGCCTCTCTGTCTATCTTCCGGTCTTTCTGTTTTGAAACCTGAGTTTCCAAAGTTCTTTGTTCCTAGCTGCATTGTCAGAGAAATAACCGATCCCTTCATCACTTCTTGGTAAGGCAGTCGATCATTTTCACCTAGAATGAAAGTTCCTTGCAAAGAAGAGAAGGCATTCTCTTCCTTTTTGTAGCTGAAGCTGATAATAATCCCAGGAAAGCCCACAATCTGCAAATCGTGGAGGGTGAGAATTTTGGGGTTCAAAGCTGAATTATGTTCCAGTACATTAAGGGCAATGGATCCTTAATTTTCTTGGAAGCTAAGCAGGGTCAGTCCTGGTTAGTACTTGGGTGGGAGACCGCACACAAATACCAGATGCTCTAGACTAGGTGTGGGCCTGGAGATGGGTAGGGGAAGGATGCAGCCCCTTGGGCTCTTTCCTCAGGCCCTCCTCACTCTCAACATCCTCTCCTTCCTTCCTTCTCACTTTCTTTACTCCCCTTCCTTCCTCCCTTCCTTCCTTCTTTCTCTTTTGTCTTTTCTTCCTTCTCTCTTCCTTCCCTCCCTCCTTCCATTACCTTCACCCTTCTATACTTCCCTTTCTTGTCTCTCTTTTCTTCCTCCTTCCCTCCCTCCCTCCCTTACCTACCTCCTTCTTTCTCCCTCCTTCTCTCTATCTCTTTCTCCTTCCTTCCTTCTTTTTCTTTCCTTTCCTTTCCTTTCCCTTCCCTTTCTTTTCCCTTTCCTTTCCTTTCCTTTCCTTTCCTTTCCTTTCCCTTCCCCTTCCTTCCCTCTTCCTTCCTTCCTTCCTTCCTTCCTTCTTCCTCCTTCCTTCCTCTTCTCTTCTCATTCCTCTTTCCTTCCTTCCTTCCTTCCTTCCTTCCTTCCTTCCTTCCTTCCTTCCTTCCTTCCTTCCTTCCCTTCTTCCCTTTTGTCTTCTTCTTTCTCTTCCCCTCCTTCCTCCCTCCCTCCCTCCTCTTCTCCCTCCTCCCCTCCTCCCCTCCCTTCCTTCCTTCTTCCTTCCTTCCTTTTCTTTCCTTTTCTCTTTCCTCCCTTCCTTCCCCTTCTCTCTTCCTTCCTCCCCTCCCTCCCTCCTTCCCTTCCTCCCTTCCTTCCTTCTTTCCTTCTTCCTCTTTTCTTTTCTTCTTTCCTCTTTCCTCTCCTTCTCCCCTCCCTCCTTCTCTCTCCCTCCCTCTCCTCCCTCCCTCCTCCCTCCTTCTTCTTTCCTTCCTTCCTCTCCTCCCTTTTGTCTTTTCTTCTCTTTCTCTTTCCTCCTCCTTCCTCTCCTCCCCTCCTTCTCTCTTCCTTCCTCCCTCCCTCCCTCCCTCCCTTCCTTCCCTTCCTTCCTTCCCTTTTGTCTTTTCTTCTTTTCTCTTCTCCTTCCATCCTTCCATCCCTCCACTCCCTTCTACTCTTCCTTCCTTCCTCCCTTCCTCCCTTCCTCCCTTCCTCCCTTTTCCTTCCTTCCCTTTCTTTCTTCTTTTCCTTCCTCTCCTTCCTCCCTTCCTCTTCCTTCCTTCCCTCCCTCCTCCCTCCTCCCTCCTTCCCTCCCTTCCCTTCCCTTCCTTCCTTCCTTCTTCCTTCCTTCCTTCCTTCCTTCCTTCCTTCCTTCCTTCATTCCTTCCTTCCTTCCTTTCTGCCCTTTTCTTTCTTTTTCTTCTTTTCTCTTTCCTCCTTCCATCCTTCCATCCTCCCCCTTCTACTCTTCCTTCCTTCCTCCCTTCCTCCCCTCCCTTCCTTCTTTCCTTCCTTCCCTTTTGTCTTTTCTTCTTTTCTCTTTCCTCCATCCTTCCATCCCTTCTACTCTTCCTTCCTTCCTCCCTCCCTCCCCCCTTCCCTCCTTCCTTCCTCCTTCTTTCCTTCCTTCCTTCCTTTTGTCTTTCTTCTTTTCTCTTCTCCTCCTCCTCTTCCATCCCTCCACTCCCTTCTACTCTTCCTTCCTTCCTCCCTTCCTCCTCCCTTCTTTCTTCCTTCCTTTCTTTTCTTCTTTCTCTTTCCTCCTCTTCCTCCCTTCTTTCTTTCCTTCCTTCCTCCTCCTTCCTTCTTTCCTCCCTTTCCTTTCCTTCTTTCCTTCCTCTTCCTTTTTCTTTCTTCTTTTCTCTTTCCTCTCCTTCCATCCTTCCTCCCTCCCTCCTTCTCTCTTCTTTCCTTCCTTCCTTCCTTCCTCCCCTCCCTCCCTTTCTTCCTCCTTCCTTCCTTCTCTCTTCCTCTCCTTCCTCTTCCTTCTTCCTCTTCTCCCTCTTCCCTTCCATCCTTTCATTCTTCCTTCCCTCTTTTCTCCCTCCTTCCTTCGTTTGACAACTAGTTTGGCATCAAAGACCAAAGACACTTTAATATGACACTTCCTACTATTCCACACTATTGCGCCATAGCATATAACATTTATTTATTTATTTACTGTATTTGTATACCGCCTTTCTCAGCCGATTGACGACTCAAAGCGGTTTCCAACAAATCAGTATACATAAAACATAATAGATAAAAAACATTAACAGCATAAGACATCACAAAAACAATAAAAGCAACATCATCAGTGTCTCATTATTCTCAAGCATTGTCCAGTTCCATTGTTAGGTTCTTCGATTTCCTATATTAGCTACTCTGTATTTGTAAACACTTGCTTGAATAGCCACGTTTTAACTTGCCTCCAAAACTTCAAGAGGGAGGGAGCAGATCTGATTTCCCTAGGGAGGGAGTTCCATAGCCGAGGAGCCACCACTGAGAAGGCCCTGTCTCTCGTCCCCGCCAAACGTGCTTGTGACGAAGGCGGGACCGAGAGCAGGACCTCCCCAGATGATCTTAAAGACCTCAGTGGTTCATAAGGGGAGATACGCTCGGACAGGTAAGTTGGTGTCAAACTTCATTAGTTTGTAGTGTAGTTTTTAAGTCAAACAAGACATTGCTGAGCATTTTACATTTCTAGGTTCGGAATCTTGAATGATCCCTATAAAGTTTAGACTAAAACACAGAGCGGTCTTACTTTTCCACTAACATTAACCACCATTGTCTGTCCCGCATTTCTATAATTACTTTTTTATAACATAACTAGCCATCCCCTGCCATGCATTGCTGTGGCCCAGTCTGTGTATATGTGTTTTGTGTCTGTATATATGCATGTGTGTGTATATATATTTGTGTATATATGTGTGTTTGTCTATATATGTGGTTTTGCGCATGCGTTGTAATGGGTTTTTTTTGTGGGGGGTTGCTTTTTAAGTCCCTTCTGCTGTGTTTTTCGGTGTTTTTATGAGTGATGGTCACTCGTTGGCCTGAGAGGTGTATTGTGTCCAAATTTGGTGTCAATTCGTTCAGTGGTTTTTGAGTTATGTTAATCCCACAAATGAACATTACATTTTATTTATATAGACTAGCCGTCCCCTGCCACAACTTGCTGTGGCCCACATGGGGGTTCTGTGTGGGAGGTTTGGCCCAATTCTATTGTTGGTGGGGTCCAGAATGGTCTGTGAGTGTAGGTGAACTATAAATCCCAGCAACTACAACTCCCAAATGTCAAGATTCTATGTTCTCCGTCAGTGTATTGTCGAAGGCTTTCCACCAGTCTTCACATTTGGGCATATTGAGTCTTCGTGTAGAGTTTGGTCCAGATCCATCATTGTTTGAGTCCACAGTGATCTGGATGTAGGTGAACTACAACTCCAAAACCAAAGGACACTGCCCACCAAACCCTTCCAGTATTTTCTGTTGGTCATGGGAGAACAGTGTGCCAAGTTTGGTTCAATTCCATCGTTGGTGGGGTTCAGAATGCTCTTTGATTGTAGGTGAACTATAAATCCCAGCAACTACAACTCCCAAATGACAAAATCAATTTTTTGAGTGAAGGACATACATTGGGTTGTTAGGTGTCTTGTGTCCAAATTTGGTGTCAAATCGTCCAGTGGTTTTTGAGTTCTGTTAATCCCACAAATGAACATTACGTTTTTATTTGTATAGATTACCAGACCCTTGACACCATATCCTGGCAAGTTGAGACAATATATTATCTGAATCAGATTATATGATGAATTTAATGATATCTAGCTATAGCTGCACGTTTTGCCTCCCTTCTTGCGTGCCTCAACTTGGGCGGCAATTGCCGTATTACGATCGTAAAGGAAAGTTAAATTTCCTGTTTCGGAAAGTCAGATTTTAAAAAATGACTTTTCTCAAGCTTTAATCTCCTCCTGCCCTCAAAGGTCTACAATGGCACAATGCCTTTGATGGATATGGTCAAGTCTTTATGTATCCTGGCCCTTTTCCTTTCCCAATCAGCCGTGGCAACTATGCGCAAGGAATGCGCCGAATCCAGAAATATGTGTAGCTCCATCAATTGGGTGGGGAGGAAGTGTGCCTTGATCCGGACCCAGGTCTTGCACCCAGGGTGGAGTTGGCCATACACCTTAGTTGACAAGGCTCACGTAAAGTCCCATTGAATCTTCGTGCTCCTAAAAGTCAATGAATTTATGGGTGGGATTTATAACTTTGCTGAGAGTTTGATCCTGGACATTTGCAACCGAGATCAAACCTTCTGGCAAACTTACTTACTTACTTACTTACTTACTTAGGCGATCCCTCGTTGGCCGAGTAGGATAGTCTTCCAGGATCAGTGTTCTGGTGGGTCCGTAGGTGGCTGTGGAGCCCTATTCTTGATCTGCATCTTCTTCCACACTGAGGGCATTGGTTTCCAGGTGGAAGGCGGTCCCGGTTGGGGTTGTCTTGACACGCCTTCCTCTTGGCGTTTCTCTCTTTTGCCCTCCATTCATGCCTCTTCAAATTCTGCAGCACTGCTGGTCACAGCTGACCTCCAGCTGGAGCACTCAAGGGCCAGGGCTTCCCAGTTCTCAGTGTCTATGCCAGAGTTTTTAAGGTTGGCTTTGAGCCCATCTTTAAATCTCTTTTCCTGTCTACCAACATTCTGTTTTCCATTCTTGAGTTCAGAGTAGAGCAACTGCTTTGAGAGACGGTGGTCGGGCATCTGGACAACGTGGCAGGTCCAGCGGAGCTGATGGCGAGGACCATCGCTTCAATGCTGGTGGTCTTTGCTTCTTCCAGCACGCTGACGTTTGTCCACCTGTCTTCCCAGGAGATTTGTAGGATTTTCCGGAGGCAGCACTGATGGATTCATTCCAGGAGTTGCATGTGATGTCTGTAGACAGCCCACGTCTCTCAGGTGTATAGCAGGGTTGGGAAGACAATAGCTTTATAAACAAGCGCCTTGGTCTCCCTACAGATGTCTCAGTCCCCAAACACTCTCTGCTTCATTGGGGAAAATGCTACACTCACAGAGCTCAGGTGGTGTTGTATTTCAGTATCGATGTTGACTTTTGTGGAGAGGTGGCTGCCAAGGGAGCGGAAATGGCAAACAAACTAGTCCAGTGTGGGCTAGGTAAAACTATGGTTAGGTTGTATCTGTAATTGGTTAAGTGAACAAACCCAGAGGGCAATTTTCCCCAATGCTTCCTCTTCATCCTGGAAAGAAGTGACAAGAGGAGTGCCATCAGCAGGGTTCTGTCCTGGGCCTGGTCCTGTTCAGGATCTTGATTCATGACTTAGATGAAGGGTTAGAAGGCGTGATCATGAATTTCTATCAAATGTATATACCGGTAACCTCATGTTTCTGTATTTACATTATGTTGTGCCTAAACAGATTAGAGAGATGGGCCAAAACTAACAAAATGAAGTTCAACAGTGACAAATGCAAGATACTCCACTTAGGCAGAAAAAAATGAAAAGGAAAGGGCCTGAGGCCGGGAATTGTGGGAATTGAAGTCCAAAACACCTGGAGGACCGAAGTTTGCCCATGTCTGACTTAGAGCCATATTGGATTGTGGGCTTTGCTGGGATTCATTCTGATGAAGGCACAGGTGCAGGGCCTGAGAATGTAATTACCTTTGAACCTCAAGTCCAGTCACAGGAGTTGGAATCATCCTCTCTAAATAAGGAATCTAACTAAGACGAGTTGATGAGAAACTCTCATGGGAAAGCCCCTGGCAATATTGACCCAAGCAAAGAAGTTCGCTTGCAGATTAGAGCAGAGAGCCAGCTTTGTAGATCAAGACAGCTTCCTGGGAAGCAGAAATTCCAGGGCAGACATTATGCTTTTATGTCTGTTTATTAGGCGGTAACGGAACACTCAGTTCAGGCAACATGGCTTTCAAGTACAGCTAAGCCTGGGTTCTCTAGTTCTTGTTTCAAGTCTTGGTTTTGGATTTAAGTATTTTGGGAGTTTTCCATGTTCTTGTTTTGTATTCTTGTTTAAGTTTTGCATATGGACTTAAGCTGTCTTTGTATTTTGGGACTATGTTTTTTTTGGAGTTATAAGAGATCATTGATTGCTGACTTTTTGGATTCTACACCTTATTTCATGATTCCCACTTTTTTTACTATATATCTTTTTTGTGTTTTTGCAATAAACTAATTGCTTCTACTCTGAATTCTTGTGTGATGCTATGGTCATAGGTAGCTTCAGGCCTGGGTTGTGACAAGCTACCATTTTCCATTTGGTGTGCAGTGCTTTTCTAGACAATTAAAAGCAGAGGTTGCCATGTTGGTCTTCACAAAGATGAATCAACTGAACTTTTAAAACATTATAATGGTATATCAAACCAAGTTATAACTAATGCATTCTATGTTCTGTAACAAAGTGGCTTCCAGTCTATAAAACGTCTCATTGTGTCTTCTCGAAAGTTTTCATGGCCAGAATCACTGTGTTCTTGTGAGTTTTCCAGGCTGTATGGCCATGTTCCAGAAGCATTATCTCTAGACATTTTGCCTGCATCTGTGGCAGTATTTTTAAAAACTCTAAAATCAGGACAGTAAATAAAGAACAATACGCAAAAATATTGATCTACTCACATTTGCATTCCAGACAAGAAACAATAAAAAAAAGGATTCCCCCAGACAGTAAAAAGCTAGACCATGAAACTCCTAAATGCTAACCAAGCTGGCAAGTTGAAACATTCACACTTACCTCAAACAGACAAGAGTTCTTTCTCCCACCCTGGACATTCCACAGATATATAAACCCCATTTTCCTAGTTTCCAACAGACCTCACAACCTCTGAGGATGCCTGCCATAGATGCAGGTGAAATGTCAGGAGAGAATGCTTCTGGAACATGGCCATACATCCCAGAAAACTCACAACAACCCAGTCTCATTATGTCTTTTCCTGCCCCTTATTATTTGGCTGATGATAATAATAATAATAACAACAACAATTCTATTTATTACCCACCTCCCTTTTAACTCAAGGAGGCACACAACATAGTCAAAGACATCTCTAAAAACACATGTTAAAACATAATTAAAATGCAAGCCTAAAAGTAAATATTAAAAGATAAATATATTAAAATACATTACACAAAAGGTAACATAGAGTGTGATTTTAAGGGGGATTTGAAAATAACTTTTAAGGGGAAATTCTGCAGTCTGGTCCTAAGCCATGTAAAGTTAATATGGAGGTCAAAACCAGAATTTTCGATTGTGCTTGGAAACAGTCCAGTCATCAATTAAGGGATCGTAATGAGCCATTTCTGTTTGTTTGCTTGTTTTGCATGCAGTACCTAAAATTAAAGAATTTTGAGGAGGAAGTCCGAGCGCACCGGGACCTGGACGGGTTCCTGGCCAGAGCCAGTATCATCCTGGACGAGACGGCAACCTCTCTGGACGATGTCCTCCGGGAGATGTTGAAACACTTTGCCGAAGACTCGGACAACGCAGAGCCCAGCTGCAACTTCGACAAAATCATGAGCACTTTATTCACCGATTCAGGAACCCCTCGAGAAGGGAATGGTAAGATGGGCACTCATTCTCCTTGTTTGTCTCAGCTGAAAACTATGAATAATTGTCCATAGACACCTCCAAGGTCATGTGGCCGGCATGAATGCATAGAGGCCCTTACCTTCCCGCCGGAGCGGTACCTATTGATCTACTCACATTTGCATATTTTCGAACTGCTAGGTGGCAGAAGCTAGGGCTGACAGCAGAAGCTCACACCGCTCCCCAGAATCGAACCTGCGACCTTTCGATCAACAAGCTCAGCAGCTCAGCGCTTTAACCCACTGCGCCAATGGGGGCTCCAAGTTATACAAAGCTGGAATCTTTAGTATAACTTCTGGTCCTATCAGATCAGTTTTCAAGTCAATTTGCAAACAATACAAATTCAGTTCCATTTGTGATGGTTCCTGGATGTAACAGAGTCTTGTCTTTCTTTCTTTCTTTCTTTCCTTCTTTCTTTCCTTCTTTCTTTCTTTCTTTCTCAACAGTTCACCTCTTGTCAGATACGATTCAGGGCGTCACAGCAACAGTCACTGGGGTGCAATATCAGCAGTCCTGGCTTTGTATCATGTAAGTACCCCAAGTCCTGTTTTCGGTGCATAATAAGAAAGTCTTATGTGACCATGTGCTTTCCTTCACCCCCTTCCTTCCTTCCTCTCTCTCTCTCAAGGGCTCCCCATTCCATTGGGCTCTATTGGGTGGCCAACATGCTAGTGGTGAGTGTGCTGGTACATCTGTACCAGGAGCTCCAACTTTATTTTCTTTCTATTAAGTGTTTGCATGCAGGGATTCTGCAAAAAGGTGGCTTCCTTTGGTTTGCAGTCATAGGGCAAGCCACTTGTCTATCATTGTTAAGTTTGGATCCGCCCCTTCTCCCAGGGAGATGGGAAGGAAGAGGGAGCCATTTTTAGTTAGTCTTAGTGAGGAAAGCTAAGTTAGAGGACGTGGACAAGCTTCACCTGCACAAAAGCTTCATTTCTTAAGACCATCCAGGGAAACTGAAGTCCAGGAAATTCCAGGGACATTCCGGGGGGAAATTCCCAAAGCTCTGGCTGGGAGCTTGCAGCCTCTCAGCCTTGCAGCATCTGAGGGAAACAGCCCTAAAGTCTCTAAGAAATTCCAGAGGGAAAACAGCTTTACAGACCCAAAGAACTCCAGCTGGAGAATCTGCAAGCCTTTACTGGTAGGTCTACTTGGTGCTCAAGATGCAGTTTGAATCCGGTAGTAGGACCCACATCAGTAAGGATTAGATTATAGTCAGCCTGGAAGAGGTTAAAAAAGGGTTTTCCTCTAAAGTAAAGGAACAGTTAATGAAGGCAGTTGCCTGTCCCTCGTGGACAAGATTAAGGAAGCCACCAGTTAATTCAAAGCCTTGAAGCATTTGTTTGACCTGTTGAAGATTTGAGAAATATCTGTTGGATTTGTTCAATAATAAAGGACTTTGTTACATCATTAAAGACTCTAAAGACTATCTCTACAGGAAAATCCTTAAAGGCCTCTTTCGAGGCACCCCTGGCTTCCTGCTGGGCACAAGGTGCACGTCCTATTTTAAAAGTCAATTATTACAGGCCCAGCGTGTGACAGAACAGTGATTTCCAAGTGGAACCAGATGTTGAGGAGCAAAGACGAAATTGCCAAGGATGAAACATCCCTTCCTTGTCTCCTTGCTCTTTCTGTGTCTCTTACACGCAAAATCTCTTTCTACACCATTTTTCTCTCTTTCTCTCTTCTTTTATCTCTGCATCCACCTCTCCTCTTATATCTCCTTCCTTCTTCCTTTCTTTCCGTAACTCCCTTTTTTTACTTTCTATGCATTTTGCCTTTTTTGTCTCTTTTTTACTTTGATCCTCCTTTTTCTGTCTTCTCCCTTCTTTCTTCCCTTATCCCTTTCTCTCCTCCATAGTTTTCTTTTCCTCCTGTCCCTTTTTCTCTTCATTCTTCCACTTTCTCTCCCATCCTCTTTCCCTCTTCTCTCTCTCCCTTAATCCCTGCATCTCCCTTTTCTCTTCCTCCTGCCTCCCTTTCCATCTACATTGGCGTTTCTCAACTTCAGGGTCGGGACCCCTGGGAGGGTCCAGAGGGGGTGTCAGAGGGGTTGACAAAGACCATCAGACAACACAGTATTTTCTGTTGGTCATTTGGGTTCTGTGTGGGAGGTTTGGCCCAATTCTATCGTTGGTGGCGTTCCGAATGCTCTTTGATTGTAGGTGAACTATAAATCCCAGCAACTACAACTCCCAGCAAGTACCTTCAAGGCATGGGTGTTCTGTGTGGGATGTTTGGCCTAATTCTATATTTGGTGGCATTCCGAATGCTCTTTGATTGCAGGTGAACTATAAATCCCAGCAACTACAGCTCCCAAATGTCAAGGTGTAGGTTATTGTAGGTTTTTTCAGGATATATGGCATTTCTGTGTTCTGGACCACTCTAACAACCACCATGTCAGACTACACAGAGAAGCCATTGAAATCCACAAGCATGTGGACAATTTCAACAGAAAGGAGGAAACCATGAAAATGAACAAAATCTGGCTACCAGTATTAAAAATCTAAAATTACAACAGCAAAACAACAGAGAGGAAACAATCAAGGACATCTAATCACCTCTCAACAAAAGATTGCTCCAGGCACTGCCAGGCAATCAAATGCTAATCAAGGTGATCAGCTGAAACATTCACACCTAGCTCCAACAGACAAGAGTCCTGTGTCCCACCCTGGTCATTCCACAGATATATAAAACCCTTTTTGTTCCAACAGACCTCACTACCTCTGAGGATCCTTGCCATAGATGCAGGCAAAACGTCAGGAGAGAATGCCTCTAGAACATGGCCACATAGCCCGAAAAAACCTACAACAACCCAGTGATTCTGGCCACGAAAGCCTTCGACAATACATAACATATTTTCCCCAAATTCTACCACATTATGGCATACTGACTATCCATGCCAAGTTTGGTCCAGATCCATCATTGTTTGAGTCCACAGTTCTCTCTGGATATAGGTGAACTACAACTCCAAAACTCAAGGTCAGTGTCCACCCGTTAGGGATTCCGCATCTTCAGGGAGTAGGAAAGTGTTCAGGAATTGGAAGGACAGTTAGAATCAGAAGATGAGGTTTTGCAAGTGCCCACATTTCTTGAAAGGCAAAAGGAAACAGAGCAGAGACGGCATTCAGCTAGAATAGCTGCTAGAAACGCCGAGGCAATTGGGAGATGCCCTAGCACCTCCTGAGTGGGGAATTCAGAGCTATAAATCAGAAGCAGGAGCAGTTAACTTTCTCTGGTAACGAACAACTCTGATACTTTTCGCTCCAATTGTACCTGCTTCGAGTCTGCTTCTAAGGATTTAGTGATCAATACCCTTTGTCTGATGTAAGACTGCTGCTTATTTTGTACTTTATCGGAGACTTGAGTTTTAGAATCACAGAGACCTCATGGGCCATCCAGTCCAACCCCATTCTGCCAAGAAGCAGGAAAATTGCATTCAAAGCACCCCCGGCAGATGGCCATCCAGCCTCTGTTTAAAAGCTTCCAAAGAAGGAGCCTCCACCACACTCCGGAGCAGAGAGTTCCACTGCTGAACGGCTCTCCCAGTCGTTCTTCCTCATGTTCAGATGGAATCTCCTTTCTTATAGTTTGAAGCCATTGTTCCGTGTCCTAGTCTCTAGGGCAGCAGAAAACAAGTTCGCTCCCTCCTCCCTGTGGCTTCCTCTCACATATTTATACACGGCTATCAGGTCTCCTCTCAGCCTTCTCTTCTTCAGGCTAAACATGCCCAGCTCTTTAAGCTGTTCCTCATAGGGCTTGTTCTCCAGACCTTTTATCATTTTAGTTGTCCTCCTCTGGACACATTCCAGCTTGTCAATGTCTCTCTTCAATTGTGGTGCCCAGAATTGGACACAATAATCCAGGTGTGGTCTAACCAAAGCAGAATAGAGCATGAGGAGCATGACTTCCCTAGATCTAGACACTAGACTCCTATTGATGCAGGCCAAAATCCCATTTTGCATCCTCCTTTCTCTTCTCTTTTGCATCTTTTTCCTTCTTCTCTCTCTTTCGTTTTCCCTTTCTCTCTGCATTCTCTTTTTCTCTTCTATGTCTTTGCTGCAAAACCCCCTTTTTTTCTACCCACTTCTCAATCCCTTTCTCACTGCATCTCCTTTTCTCTCCCTCCTGACTCCCTTTTCCTTTGCATCCTCCTTTCTCTTCTCTCTTTTGCATCTTTTTTTCCTTCTTCTCTCCTATCTTCTGCCCTCCCTTTCTCCCTGCATCCTCCTTTTCTCTTCCTCCTGTCTTCCTTTCCCTCTAAATACCCCTATTCTTTCTCTCTCCCTTTTCCCCCCACACCTCCCTTCTCTCTTTCCCCCTCTTTCTTTCTGCACCCTCTTTTCTCTCTCAGATTCACCCTGCGCTCCACATGCAATGCGCACACGCTTCCTCTCTTCTCCATCCCTTTCTTTATCCCTTCCCCTTCCCAGGGAAGCCACAGAACAGATATCTGAGCCTGATCACTTCCAGAGGGCTTTTCTGTGTCACCCAAGAGCCATGCATGACTCATCTCAGCTACAGAGAAAGTCAACAGTGGGGCTGAATGCAGAGCACAGCCTCGTGCGCACCATGCACAGAGCGGCAGAAGCAGCATAGGAAGGGCATCATTTTCCACAACCTTGTCCTGAGGGGGATGCTTTTAAAGGGCCCTCATAGATTCATATGCAGCTTGAACAACGTGAGAGATTTTGACACTTGAAGTGGGATTCTGGAACATAGGATCTCATGTTTTGAAGCTTTCCAACAAATCTATTTTCAACATGCTATTTCTTACTCACAGACATTTGCGCCATCCCATCACCTGACTGGCCAGGTATAGCCATGGATACAGGGAGGTATCCAGAAAAATAGAATGGTAGATCATAGAGCTGAATGGAACAGCAGGATCTATTACCTTGTTCTGGAATTGGGGCTTTATCCAGGCATCTCCTTTAGCTCTGGGAACAGATGCATGTTACCGCTGTAGGATAAGCATTATTGATGGCAAATTATGCATCAGGTGGTTACGCAAGGGAGAAGCATTCCATCCCTTTAAGTGATGCATTCCAGTCAATAACAGAATTGGTCCCTATAACAATCACACCGCTGCCAACCAAATTATAATGATAGCATCACCACTACAGACTAGCTCACCAAAAATATAGAGGGAGTATGGTTGTTGAGACCAACTGTATATTTAAAAGCTAGGAACTGGGAACCACTGGAACTGAGAGACTTAAAATGATTCTTCAAAAGAATCCCGCTGCCACCATATTAACAATAAACAGGCTGAGGTATTATTGTGAGGTTGTTCAGTAACACACTCTGTGTCACTATTGTTTTAATAATAATAATAACAACAACACTTTATTTGTACCCCGCTACCATCTCCCCAAGGGACTCGGTGCGGCTTACATGAGGCCAAGCTCAAACACAACAATACAAGCAATAATAACAACAATACAAGCAATTAAAAAACATAGACAATAAAATACACAACATTATCAATAAGACAACACACAATTAAAAACAGTGGAAAGGCCAAA